GGTGCAAAAATGTTAATCATAATATGCATGTCATGCGAGAACATGACTACATACCACGCTCATGATTCACTCCCAAACGTTTCGCAAACATTACATATGCCGTATTTGGATATTACGTGCGGTGAATGGATGACGAAGGTAAATGACTCGTCCAAACATCGCAATCTGGATATGTGTATCATGGAAAACATCACTACATGCAATGGTCATAGCATGCTCGTGGCCGTTTCGCAAGTTCCATCATCATCATCATCATCATCAGCAGCAGCAGCAGCAGCAGCAGCAGCCTGACTACGTCCACTGCAGGACAAAAGCCTCTCCCATGTTCTGCCAGTCATCTGGGTTCTGTGCTTGCTGCTGCCAATTTATACCCGCAAACTTCTTAATCTCATCTGCCCACATAATCTTCTCTGTCCCTCTAACCAGCGTGCCTTGTCTAGGAATCCAGTTAGTTACCCTTAATGACCAGTGGTTGTCCTCTCTACGTGCAAGATGCCCGGCCATGTACATTTCTTCTTGATTTCAACTATGATATTCTTAGCCCCGGTTTGTTCCCTAATCCACTCTGATTTCTTCTTGTCTCTTAAGGTTACACCTACCATTTTCCTTTCCATCGCTCGCTGCGTCGTCCTCAATTTAAGCTGAACCTTCTTTGTAAATCTCAAGGTTAGTGCTCCGTAGCTAAGTACCGGAAAGAGGCAGCTGTTATACACCTTTCTCTTGGGGGATAGTGGCAATCTAGCTGTCATGATTTGAGAGTGCTAGCCAAATGTTTTCCGCCCCATTTTTATTCTTCCAGTTACTTCAGTCTCGTGGTTCCGCTCCGTGGTTATTACCTGTCCTATATGTAGACATATTCTTTTACAACGTCAAGTGCGCTTTTACCTATATCGAAGCGCTGTTCTCTTCCGAGGTTGTTGTACAATACTGTCGTTTTCTGCGGATTAATTTTAACACCTACTTTTCTGTTCTCCTTGTCTAACTCCGTAATAATGAGTTGCAATTCGTCCGCTAAGTTACTGAGCAACGAAATGTCGTCGGCAAGGCGTACGTTACTAAGGTACTCTCTATTAACTCGTTTCGCTAACTGTTCCCATTCTAGGCCTCTGAAAACGTTCTGTAAGCACGTGGTAAAGAGCATTGTGAAGATTGTATCCCACTGCCTTACGCCCTTTTTTATTATTATTCTGTTGCTTTTTTTATAAACCACTATGGTAACAGTTGCACCCCTGTAGATTCTATCCAGGATGTTTATATATGCTTCGTCGACGCCTTGATTCTGCAGTGTCTGCATGACTGCTGATAATTCTACTGAATCAAACGCCTTTTCTTAATCTATGAAGGCTGTGTATCGTGGCTGGCTATATTCTGAGCATTTATCTATTACCTGGTTCAAAGTATGAATGCATTTGATTGATTTTGTGAGGTTTAACGTCCCAAAACCACTATATGATTATGAGAGACGCCGTAGTGGAGGGCTCCGGAAATTTCGACCACCTGGGGTTCTTTAACGTGCACCCAAATTTGAGCACACGGGCCTACAACATTTCCGCCTCCATCGGAAATGCAGCCGCCGCAGCCGGGAAAGTATGAATGCAGTCGATTGTTGAGTAACCAGTTCAAAATTCCGCTTGTTCTTTTGGTTGATGGAATGCTAATGTTGTCTTAATTCTGTTGGCAGTTACCTTTGTGAATAGCTTGTAAACTACGGAGAGCAAGCTTATCAGCCTGTAATTCTTCAAGTCCTTGTCGTCTCCTTTCTTATGTATTAGGATGATGTTAGCATTCTTCAAAGATTATGGTTCTCTTCCCGCTACAAGACACCTCGTAACCAAGGTCGCTTGTTTTTCTAACACAATCTGCCCTCCATCTTTCAGCAGATCGGATGTTACCTGGTCATCACCAGCAGCTTTGCCTCTTCGCATGCTCTTCAAGGCTTTTCTTACTTCTTCTATCATTACTGGTGGGGTGTCATCTGGGTTACTGCTATAGCTCTTATATTAAGGTCGTGGTTGTGCTTGCTACTGTACAGGTTTCTATAAAACTCCTCCGCTGATTTTACTATCCTATCCATATTGGTATTTACTTTGCTTTCCTGTTTCCTTAGTGCATACATCAGGCTTTTTCATATCCCAAGTTTCCTCATCACTGCTTTGACGCTTCCTCCGTTCTTCGGAGCTTGTTTATTTCTCTCCATGTTATACCTGCTTACGTCGGACACCTTACGCTTATAATCAACTTGTAAAGCTCTGTCAACTCTATTTTGTCTGTTGTACTTGAGGCTTTGATTCTTTGACGGTATTTAATGAGATTCTTCGTTTTCTGGGACAGCTTGCCACCGTCCTGTCTAACTACAGTACCTCCAACTTCCACTGCACACTCCGTAATGGTACTCGTCAGATTATCAATCTTTGCGTTGATGCTAAGGCTGTTTTCCTCGAAAAGAGCCGAGCACCTGTTCTGAAGTGAGACTCTGAAATCCTGTACTTTCCTACTCAGTGCTAGCTCATTAATTGGCTTCTTGCGTTTCAGTTTCTGTCGTTCCTTCTTCAAGTCTAGGGTAATTCTGGACCGTACCATTCTATGGGTACTGCATGGTACCTTGCCAAGCACTTCCACGTCCTGCACAATGCCTGGCTGTGCGCTGAGTATAAAGCATCTTTCGTTGTTATTTTCGCCATTAGTGCTCCTCCATGTCCACTTACGATTCCCTCGCTTTCAGTAGAAGGTATTTAAAATCTGTAAATTATTGCGTTCTGCGAACTCTACCAGTAGCTCCCCTCTGGCATTTCTAGTACCGATGCTATAATATCCTACTGCCTGGTCTCCAACCTGTTTCTTCCCTAATTTTGCATTGATGTCTCGCATTGGTATAGTATACTCTGTTTTTACCTTTGTCATTGCCGATTCCACTTCTTCATAGATGTTTTCAACTGATGCGCCATCATGATGGACGTAGGCGCATAAGCCTGTACCACATTCATCGTGTATCTCTTTTTGAGTTTAATTACGATACCTACCACCCTTTCAATAATGCTATAGTATTCCTGTATGTTGTCAGCTGTGTGTAAGGAACGCTACTCCCAGTTTTCTTCTGTCAGCCCAGCCCCGATAGCAAAAGACGTCCCCTACCTTTAGCACCGAATAGGCCTCATATGTCCTCCTAATCTCACTGAGCCTTATTACATCGCATTTATTTCACAATAGCTCCTCATAATGTACAGCTACACTTGCCTCACTAGATAAGGTTCTAGCGTTAAACGTTGCCAATTTCAGGTTCCAATGGCGGCCTGTCCGTATCCAGAGATTTTTAGTACCCTCTGCTGCGTTGCACATCTGATCACCGCCACGGTCAGTTGCTTCGCAGGTGCTGGGTACTGATGGCCTTGCGTTAATTGACGTATGCACGTGGGAGGTACTGGTTAGGTACTGCACCTCGGTGGTCGATCCTTCTCTGGTGAGGAGGTGGGTTACCGGCGGTGGTCACCGGTGAAGCCGCACTCCAGGCCTCCTAATGCAGTTCCATCACCACGCGGACTTTTCTTTAATCCGGTTGGGAGCTGCGCGGCCTCGGGATTCGAGCCACGGACCCCGTGCATGCGAGGCTGATGTTCTAACCACTACGCCATCTCTGCACATACTCTAGGCACTAATAATTTTTTTAAACCTTTCTTACTTATACCTGTCATCTTCAGCACTAGTTGGCTGGTTTTCACAGGATCGAAGTCATTTCATATAGTAATTATAGAATAAGGCTGTCTAAAGAAAAAATAAAATCTCTTATAGTGCTTCGTGAAACAGTTCACAATACTGAACCTGCCCAAGAGCCAGTACAATAAACTTGTTTTTTTCATGATGCTATTGACCTCTATTTGATGTAATGTGAAAATAATTTTGTGGCATTTTCTCACGTTGCTACACTTAGAAATTCACCAGACCTCACACTTTGTGATTTTTCAATAAATACTCTTATTTCTTTCAGAGATGTCTTGAGCTGAGAAGTGCCCAACATATCTAGAATTTTTTTAAAAAAGAAGGTGGAGAAAATCGGCCCTCTGAAAGTTAGGGAAAATATCTATGGCAGGTTTACTTATTGGCAAATAAACTTTTTTTTGCTTATATGGCCTCCTATGGCTGTCTTTTGTCATCTGTGCAACAGCAGCCGTACTCAAGAATCCACTTTTTAAGGTCCTTTCAACAAGGTGCTGCATCACGCTCTTCGTTTTGCTGGTGAATCAATGACGTCCTCTGAACCATGCAATTTGTTCCAAAAGAACCAGGACTGCCTCAAAAGTTTTCTACACCCTTCCTGCTGGCAATGCCATGTCTGCGCAGTAGTGCATGGGCAAAGTAGCAGACGCAGCACATTGACGTAAGCGTTGTTTGAACCTCGCTTACGTTCATCTGCTGTGTTCACACAACATGCGTGTGTCTCTATACAATCTCACAAACTGACTACACATACGGTTCAAGACCTCTCAAACTTGTACAACACTACAATGCAGTCATGCAATGCAGGCTTATAGCGCTGGGAAGACTATTTCCTAATGTGTGTAATTTGTAAAATGAAAAATAGCCTTTATGAAACACGTCGGTAAATTCATGCTTCCAAGTATCTCCGGAAGCTGTCTGAGGTATATGCAGTTTTCAGATATGCTTTATATCACCGAATCTTGCGTTGAATCATTACTACACGCAGTTATTTTATGATAACCTTAGAGTGGGACATGCTGTAGAATTTTGTTGAATGTAACCGCAAAATACCAATAATGAGAATACTAAAAATGCAAGTAGGAAACCAATCTTGTCAGAAGCCATTGTTCCAAGCAGAAGTTCGGTTTACGAGAATTTTGTTCGCTGAGAGTCAACATTTATATGACCCCGAATGCACAGTGAATTTCAGAAAACTTAAATTTGTTTTAAATTTGATTTTAAAATGGCATACTTATGTGTACAAGTAAGCTAAAGCAGTATTTTCTTTTCTTTCTCATCTCTTCAAGGTATCCTACGAGGCGGCGGGGGGACCCTCCCAGAGTGCGTAATCCCCTTCCTCACGTACTTTTTCTTCAGTGCCCCCATCTGCATCTGAGGTTTGTTTATTAGTATGGTTTTTTTCTACAGCAACCAATAACAATCAAGTTCAATAGTTTCACATATACTAAATTTTGTATTACGTGACGTGAATGGCCCCGCGGCGGTAATCTAGTGGCAAAATACTGGGGCTGCTGACCCGCAGGTCGTGGGATCGAATCCTGGCTGCGGCGGCTGCATTTTCGGTGGAGGCGAAAATGCTGTAGGTCCGTGTGCTCAGATTTCGGTGCTGGTGAAGGAAGCCCAAGTGGTCTGAATTTCCGAAGCCCTGCACGTTATCAGCGCCTCTCATAATCTTATGGTGTTTTTTGGAAGTTAAACCCAACATATCACTCAAAAATCAACGTGACGTGAATGGATTATGAAAGTATATGACACTTCATAGCATCATAATTATGACATGCATGTCACGTAAAACATGAATACATGCTACGCTCATATTGCATTCTCAGCCGTTTCGCTAGCTTAACATATACCAACTTTGGTGTTACGTGACGTGAATGGACGACGAACACAAATGCCATGCGCAACCAGTATAATCCGGACATGGATGTCATGTACGGGATAAAATATGGCCGCATCGAAACGTTGTGCTGATTTTAAAGTGGCATATCAGCCTTTTTCATTCTTGCTTCGCATATCGTCGTTTCCCAGTGTACGTGGAATCTCCCGATTTCTTTAAGAATGAAAGAGAAAGAGAGAGAGAGAGAGAAACGTTTGTAGGCTCAACATATATTTATTTATTCGTTTTGATACATCACCGTAGCTCACTTTGAGCGGAGTGGAGCGGGCGCAGTCCATTTTATGTACCGTGGAGCTACCGTGGCGCCTAAAACAGCGAGAGTGGAGAATCCGATAAACCAGCGCCCTTGAGCGAAACCGTTGTTCGCGAACTGGGCTAGGCCAATGCCACCTATAAAAATATTCTTCTACGTGGCATTGGTACGGGAGGCTTTGAATTCATTGCCACCATCGTCTCCCATTGAAAGATAAAGCGTTTTCAGCGATGCTCTTTATTTTGCCTTTTGGGTCAAAAAGGTGCTGGTTTAAGTAATGCAATGCGCTTTAGAGCATTTAGAGATTAACCTGTGAGCCATTTTTTCCATGAAAAAAGTCAAATATTATGCTCTATTGAACGTGTGGTCGATCTATAAGAGCAGAATTTGATGGACCAACAAAGTGACGAAATTAATAAGGTAAATTTTGTTCATTCTTTATTTACCCACACACGCATACACACACACACCATCTAGAGGATGCAGAGAAACTGTTCTTCACTCATTTGTGAAGTTTGTGCAGTTTTATTTGTTCTCTTTCGAACATCTCTTTTCACAGACACGTTCGGTACTTATTCAGGATAGTGTGTGCTGATGCCAAAAGTATGACATTCAGCACAATATCTGTGCGATGAATACTGCAAGAGAAAACAAAATCTTTCGGTTTACAAACATCTCTTGCGACCGACACAAGAAGCGGCGTTTTCTCTTTTGCTCTGACCGCTCTCGCAGTGGTACGTGGTTGATTTGATTGACATGTGGGGTTTAACGTCCATAAATTACCATATGACTATGAGATTCGCCGTAGTGGAAGGCTCCGGAAATTTCGATCACCTGGAGGTATTTAACGTGCACCCAAATCTGAGCACACGGGCCTACAGCATTTCAGCCTTCATCGGAAATGCAGCCGCCACAGTCGGTATTCGATCCCGCGACCTGCGGGTCAGCAGCCGAGTACCTTAACCACTAGACCACCGCAGCGGCGAGAATCTAGTCAGTTATCCTTGATGACCAATGGTTATGTTGCCTACATGTCACGTGCCCGACGCATGTCGACTTCTTGATTTGCACTATGATATCCTTAACACTGCTTTTTCCGCTCACACGCTCTGCTGCCTTATTGTCTATTAAGGTTACACCTATCAATTTCGTTTCCATCGCTCGCTGCGTCGTCGATTCAGGCTGACTCCTTTTTGTAATCTTTCAGTTTTCCGCTCCGTTGGTAAGTACTGGCAAGATTCAGGCTTTATATACATTTCTCTTGAGGAGGGTTAAGATTGGATTAGGGTGCAATAATATTTTGTCTTTCACTGTAATGTAGTAGTTATGTTTATACAAGCAGGACTATAGAACCCTTCCACAGATTTCAGTAGTGGCGCTCGCGCTTTCATTGCTTGTCTTAGCTGTATCCATGTTTATAATAATAAGAAGTGTCACCGTTGCGGTGCCGCAGACATCTGTGTCACAGGAAATGGTCGACAGTTATTCACCTAGTGATTAGCGATTGACACAAAGTTTTGGCCACAGCTCCATAGGACATTTGAGTTCCCGCGGGGTTCATAACGTCTCGCACACACTGTGAAGTGCTACTGATATAATCGCGGCCAGCAATAAGCCCTGCAGATAACTGCTTTGGAATTAAATCAGGGCCGGCGTGCTCTGCTCGCCACCCAAACATTTCTGATCGATTTCAAACAACAGATGCCGTTATTTCTGCAATGCGCCCATCTCTTTCACTAATCACTCACTGGGCATTCTCGATTGCTTATCGCGCATGGGGCTTGGAACGTATAGATGCTCTCTAATGCATTTTAGAAATGGGCACTGTGGCAACGAAGACATACGAGTATAATATAAGTAATACAGACCACACAGCGCGTCTCACAACCACCTTTATTAAAAATAATGCACGCTATTTTAAATCATTACCAAGCACCACGTGCTCTTACATCACGATAGCCAAAGGCACGTGCTCCAGAAAGAATACAAAAGATTATAACGATGATCGCATGTGCACTCGTTTGCTGTATATTCAATCGATTCAGGTGAGAAGTTTTATTGTCATGTAGCGCTATTTAAGGCATGCGTTCACAATGATTCACTTTCTGTGTTGATATAGTAAGCCTCAGCAATCTCTCTAGAAGCGTGATCATTATGCTTGAATTACAGAGCGTGTCGCGAAAGTTATGCTTGCATCCATGTTGTGAATTGCCGAGAAACGTGTGGTTACGGTGTTGCCTTTCAATGAGCGCTTGTATTCATTCAGGCAATGACCCTCCTCTCTCTTCTCTTCTTTTGAATGCGAAGCATTTTTTCGCGAACTTCGGCGACTTTAGACGTATCTATCTATCTATCTATCTATCTATCTATCTATCTATCTATCTATCTATCTATCTATCTATCTATCTATCTGTCTGTATATCTGTCTGTATATCTGTCTATCTATCTATCTATCTATCTATCTATCTATCTATCTATCTATCTATCTATCTATCTATCTATCTATCCGCCTACAACTTGTGGCTCTCCCGGCTATTTCGATAACGGGATCATACCAAATTGATATGGCACAACATGGCTGCATGACGAGTATAAGTGACCAGTCGTGACATGAAAATCATGTCGTATATGTGTAGAATGCCATGCTTTTGCTGATGGGGTGGTAGTTTCGTTCACACGAAATATTGCAAAACTGGTATGGTATGACATGACTCCTTGTCAAACATGAGTGACAGGCTCTAACGTGGAAATCATGACATGCATGTGATTCAAGTCATGACTACACGCCATGCTCATGATGCTCTCCCGGCCGTTTCGCTAGCTTCAAATATACCAAATTTGGTTTTTCGTGACGCGAACTGACGACGAAAGTAAATGACTCGTCCAAACAGGATAATCTTGAAATGCGTGTCATGTGAAACATGACAACATGCTACGGTCATACGTCTGCTGACTCGCAGATGGCGGGATCGAATCCCGGCGGCGGTGGCTGCATTTTCGATTAAGGTGAAATTGCTGTAGGCAGGTTTGCTCAGATATGGGTGCACCTTAAAGAACCCCAGACGGTCGAAATTTACGGAGCCCTCCACTACGGCGTCTTTCGTTATCATATAGTTGCTTTGGGACATTAAACGCCGTATATCATCATACTACGCTCATGGTGCGCTCACGGCCGTTTCGCTAGCTTCACATATACCAAATTTGGCGTTACGTGATGTCATTGTATGATGAAGGTATACGACTGGTGCAAAAATGGTAATCATAATATGCATGTCATGCGAGAACATGACTACATACCACGCTCATGATTCACTCCCAAACGTTTCGCAAACATTACATATGCATTATTTGGATATTACGTGCGGTGAATGGATGACGAAGGTAAATGACTCGTCCAAACATCGCAATCTGGATATGTGTATCATGGAAAACATCACTACATGCAATGGTCATAGCATGCTCGTGGCCGTTTCGCAAGTTCCATCATCATCATCATCAGCAGCAGCAGCAGCAGCAGCAGCAGCCTGACTACGTCCACTGCAGGACAAAAGCCTCTCCCATGTTCTGCCAGTCATCTGGGTTCTGTGCTTGCTGCTGCCAATTTATACCCGCAAACTTCTTAATCTCATCTGCCCACATAATCTTCTGTGTCCCTCTAACCAGCGTGCCTTTTCTAGGAATCCAGTTAGTTACCCTTAATGACCAGTGGTTGTCCTCTCTGCGTGCAAGATGCCCGGCCATGTACATTTCTTCTTGATTTCAACTATGATATTCTTAGCCCCGGTTTGTTCCCTAATCCACTCTGATTTCTTCTTGTCTCTTAAGGTTACACCTACCATTTTCCTTTCCATCGCTCGCTGCGTCGTCCTCATTTAAGCTGAACCTTCTTTTTAAGTCTCAAGGTTTGTGCTCCGTAGCTAAGTACCGGAAAGAGGCAGCTGTTATACACCTTTCTCTTGGGGGATAGTGGCAATCTAGCTGTCATGATTTGAGAGTGCTAGCCAAATGTTTTCCACCCCATTTTTATTCTTCCAGTTACTTCAGTCTCGTGGTTCCGCTCCGTGGTTATTACCTTTCCTATGTAGACATATTCTTTTACAACGTCAAGTGCGCTTTTACCTATATTGAAGCGCTGTTCTCTTCCGAGGTTGTTGTACAATACTTTCGTTTTCTGCGGATTAATTTTAACACTACTTTTCTGTTCTCCTTGTCTAACTCCGTAATAATGAGTTGCAATTCGTCCGCTAAGTTACTGAGCAACGAAATGTCGTCGGCAAGGCGTACGTTACTAAGGTACTCTCTATTAACTCGTTTCGCTAACTGTTCCCATTCTAGGCCTCTGAAAACGTTCTGTAAGCACGTGGTAAAGAGCATTGTGAAGATTGTATCCCACTGTCTTACGCCCTTTTTGTTATTATTCTGTTGCTTTTTTTATAAACCACTATGGTAACAGTTGCACCCCTGTAGATTCCATCCAGGATGTTTATATATGCTTCGTCGACGCCTTGATTCTGCAGTGTCTGCATGACTGCTGATAAGTCTACTGAATCAAACGCCTTTTCGTAATCTATGAAGGCTGTGTATCGTGGCTGGCTATATTCTGAGCATTTATCTATTACCTGGTTCAAAGTATGAATGCATTTGATTGATTTTGTGGGGTTTAACGTCCCAAAACCACTATATGATTATGAGAGACGCCGTAGTGGAGGGCTCCGGAAATTTCGACCACCTGGGGTTCTTTAACGTGCACCCAAATTTGAGCACACGGGCCTACAACATTTCCGCCTCCATCGGAAATGCAGCCGCCGCAGCCGGGAAAGTATGAATGCAGTCGATTGTTGAGTAACCAGTTCAAAATTCCGCTTGTTCTTTTGGTTGATGGAATGCTAATGTTGTCTTAATTCTGTTGGCAGTTACCTTTGTGAATAGCTTGTAAACTACGGAGAGCAAGCTTATCAGCCTGTAATTCTTCAAGTCCTTGTCGTCTCCTTTCTTATGTATTAGGATGATGTTAGCATTCTTCAAAGATTATGGTTCTCTTCCCGCTACAAGACACCTCGTAACCAAGGTCGCTTGTTTTTCTAACACAATCTGCCCTCCATCTTTCAGCAGATCGGATGTTACCTGGTCATGACCAGCAGCTTTGCCTCTTCGTATGCTCTTCAAGGCTTTTCTTACTTCTTCTATCATTACTGGTGGGGTGTCATCTGGGTTACTGCTATAGCTCTTATATTAAGGTCGTGGTTGTGCTTGCTACTGTACAGGTTTCTATAAAACTCCTCCGCTGATTTTACTATCCTATCCATATTGGTATTTACTTTGCTTTCCTGTTTCCTTAGTGCATACATCAGGCTTTTTCATATCCCAAGTTTCCTCATCACTGCTTTGACGCTTCCTCCGTTCTTCGGAGCTTGTTTATTTCTCTCCATGTTATACCTGCTTACGTCGGACACCTTACGCTTATAATCAACTTCTAAAGCTCTGTCAACTCTATTTTGTCTGTTGTACTTGAGGCTTTGATTCTTTGACGGTATTTAATGAGATTCTTCGTTTTTTGGGACAGCTTGCCACCGTCCTGTCTAACTACAGTACCTCCAACTTCCACTGCACACTCCGTAATGGTACTCGTCAGATTATCAATCAATGCGTTGATGCTAAGGCTGTTTTCCTCGAAAAGAGCCGAGCACCTGTTCTGAAGTGAGACTCTGAAATCCTGTACTTTCCTACTCAGTGCTAGCTCATTGATTGGCTTCTTGCGTTTCAGTTTCTGTCGTTCCTTCTTCAAGTCTAGGGTAATTCTTGACCGTACCATTCTATGGGTACTGCATGGTACCTTGCCAAGCACTTCCACGTCCTGCACAATGCCTGGCTGTGCACTCAGTATAAAGCATCTTTCGTTGTTATTTTCGCCATTAGTGCTCCTCCATGTCCACTTACGATTCCCTCGCTTTCAGTAGAAGGTATTTAAAATCTGTAAATTATTGCGTTCTGCGAACTCTACCAGTAGCTCCCCTCTGGCATTTCTAGTACCGATGCTATAATATCCTACTGCCTGGTCTCCAACCTGTTTCTTCCCTAATTTTGCATTGATGTCTCGCATCGGTATAGTATACTCTGTTTTTACCTTTGTCATTGCCGATTCCACTTCTTCATAGATGTTTTCAACTGATGCGCCATCATGAAGGACGTAGGCGCATAAGCCTGTACCACATTCATCGTGTATCTCTTATTGAATTTAATTACGATACCACCACCCTTTCAATAATGCTATAGTATTCCTGTATGTTGTCAGCTGTGTGTAAGGAACGCTACTCCCAGTTTTCTTCTGTCAGCCCAGCCCCGATAGCAAAAGACGTGCCCGCCCTTTAGCACCGAATAGGCCTCATATGTCCTCCTAATCTCACTGAGCCTTATTACATCGCTTTTAATTCACTCTAGCTCCTCATAATGTACAGCTACACTTGCCTCACTAGATAAGGTTCTAGCGTTAAACGTTGCCAATTTCAGGTTCCAATGGCGGCCTGTCCGGATCCAGAGATTTTTAGTACCCTCTGCTGCGTTGCACATCTGATCACCGCCATGGTCAGTTGCTTCGCAGGTGCTGAGTACTGAGGGCCATGAGTTAATTGACGTATGCATGTGGGAGCTATTGGTTAGGTACTGCACATCGGTGGCCAATCCGTCTCTGGTGAGGAAGCGCGTTTCCGGCGGTGGTCACCATTGAAGCCGCACTCCAGGCCTCCTAATGCAGTTCCATCACCACGCGGACTTTTTTTTAATCTGGTTGGGAGCTGCGCGGCCTCGGGATTCGAGCCACGGACCTCGTACATGCGAGGCTGATGTTCTAACCACTACGCCATCTCTGCGCAAACTATGCACTAATAATTTTTTCAAACCTTTCTTACTTATACCAGTCATCTTCAGAACTAGTTGGCTGGTTTTCACAGGGTCGAAGTCATTTCATATAATAATTATGTATTAAGGCGGTCTAAAGAAAAAAATAAAATGTCTTATAGTGCTTCGTGAAACAGTTCACAATGCTGAACCAGCCAAAGTGCCAGTACAATAAACTTCTATTTTTCACGATGTTTTGACTCCTATTAGATGTAATGTGAAAATGATTTGGCGGCATTTTCTTAAGTTGCTACACTTAGAAATTCACCAGAACTCACACTTTGTCATTTTTCATTAAATACTCTTATTTCTTTCAGAGATGTCTTGAGCTAAGAAGTGCCCGGCACATCTGGAATTTTTTTTCAAAACAAGGTGGAGAAAATCGGCCCTCTGAAAGTTAGGAAAAATATCTGTGGCAGGTTTATTTATTGGCAGATAAACTTTAAACTTTTTTTTGCGTATATGGCCTCCTATGGCTGTCCTTGGTCATCTGTGCAACAGCAGCCGTACCCAAGAATCTACTTTTTAAGGACCTTTCAACAAGGTGCTGCATCACGCACTTCGTTTTGCTGGTGAATCATTACGTCCTCTGAACCATGCAATTTGTTCCAAAAAGAACAGGAATGGCTCAAAATTTGTCTACACCCGTCCTGCTGAGAATGCCATGTCTGCGCATTAGTGCATGTGCAATGTAGCAGACGCAGCACATTGACGTAAGCGTTGTTTGAACCTCGCTTACGTTCATCTGCTGTGTTCACACAACATGCGTGTGTCTCTATACAATCTCACAAACTGACTACACATACGGTTCAAGACCTCTCAAACTTGTACAACACTACAATGCAGTCATGCAATGCAGGCTTATAGCGCTGGGAAGACTATTTCCTAATGTGTGTAATTTGTAAAATGAAAAATAGCCTTTATGAAACACGTCGGTAAATTCATGCTTCCAAATATCTCAGGAAGCTGTCTGAGGTATATGCAGTTTTCAGATATGCTATCAGCGAAACTTGCGTTGAATCATTACTACACGAAGTTATTTTATGATAACCTTAGAGTGGGACATGCTGTAAATTTTTTTGAATGTAACCACAAAATACCAGTACTGAGAATACTAAGAATAAAAGTAAGAAACCAATCTTGTCAGAAGCCCTTGTTCCAAGCAGAAGTTCGCTTTACGAGATTTTTGTTTACTACGAGTCAACATTTATATGACCCCGAATGCACAGTGAATTTCAGAAAACTTAAATTTCTCTTACAATATAATTTTCAAATGGCACACTTATGTGTACAAGTAAGCTAAAGCAGTATTTTTCTTTTCTTTCTCATCTCTTCAAGGTATCCTCCGTGGCGGCGCGGAGACCCTCCTAGAGTGCGTAATCCCCTTCCTCACGTACTTGTTCTTCAGTACCCCCATCTGCATCTGAGGTATGTTGATTAGTATGGTTCTTTTCTGCAGCAACCAATGATAATCAAGTTCAATAGTTTCACATATACTAAATTATGTATTACGTGACGTGAATGGCCCCGCCACGGTGATCTAGTGGCTAAAGTACTGGGGCTGCTGACCCGCATGTCGTGGGATCGAATCCTGGCTGTAGCGGCTGCATTTTCGATGGAGGCGAAAATGCTGTAGGTCCGTGTGCTCAGATTTTGGTGCTGGTGAAGGAAGCCCAAGTGGTCTAAAATTCCGAAGCCCTGCACAACAGCGCCTCTCATAATCATATGGTGTTTTGTGGAAGTTAAACCCCACATATCACTCAAAAATCAACGTGACGTGAATGGATTATGAAAGTATATGACACTTCATAGCATCATAATTATGACATGCATGTCACGTAAAACATGAATACATGCTACGCTCATATTGCATTCTCAGCCGTTTCGCTAGCTTAACATATACCAACTTTGGTGTTACGTAACGTGAATGGACGACGAAAACAAATGCCATGCGTAACCAGTATAATCCCGACATGGATGTCATGTACGGGATAATTTATGGCCGCATCGAAATGTTGTGCTGATTTTAAAGTGGCATATCAGCCTTTTTCAATCTTGCTTCGAATATCGTCGATTTCCAGTGTACGTGGCATCTCCCAATTTCTTTAAAAATGGAAGAAAAAGAGAGAGAGAGAGAGAAATGTTTGTAGGCTCGACATATGTTTTTTTATTCGTTTTGATTCATCACCGTAGCTCACTTTGAGCGGAGTGGAGCGGGCGCAGTCCGTTTTATGTACCGTGGAGCTATCGTGGCGCCTAAAACAGCGAGAGTGGAGAATCCGGTAAACCAGCGCCCTTGAGCGAAACCGTTGTTCGCGAACTGGGCTAGGCCAATGCCACCTAGAAAAGTATTCTTCTACGTGGCATTGGTATGGGAGGCTGTGAATTCATTGCCACCATCGTCTCCCATTGAAAGATAAAGCGTTTTCAGCGATGCTCTTTATTTTGCCTTTTGGGTCAAAAAGACGCTGGTTTAAGTAATGTAATGCGCTTTAGTGCATTTAGAGATTAACCTGTGAGCCATTTTTTCACGAAAAAAGTCAAATATTGTGCTCTATTGTACGTGTGGTCGATCTATAAGAGCAGAATTTGATGGATCAACAAAGTGACGAAATTAATAAGGTAAATTTTGTTCATTCTTTATTTACCCACACACGCATGCACACACCATCTAGAGGATGCAGAGAAACTGTTCTTCACTCATTTGTAAAGTTTGTGCAGTTTTATTTGTTCTCTTTCGAACATCTGTCTTCACAGACACGTTCGGTACTTATTCAGGAGAGTGTGTGCTGATGCCAAAAGTATGACATTCAGCACAATATCTGTGCGATGAATACTGCAAGAGAAAACGAAATCTTTCGGTTTACAAACATCTCTTGCGACCGACACAAGAAGCGGCGTTTTCTCTTTTGCTCTGACCCCTCTCGCAGTGGCACGTGGTTGATTTTGATTGATATGTGGGGTTTAACGTCCATAAATTACCATATGAATATGAGAGACGCCGTAGTGGAAGGCGCCGGAAATTTCGACCACCTGGGGTTCTTTAACGTGCGCCCAAATCTGAGCACATGGGCCTACAGCATTTCCGCCTCCATCGGGAATGCAGCCGCCGCAGCCAGGATTCGATCCCGCGACCTGCGGGTCAGCAGCCGAGTACCTTAGCCACTAGACCACCGCGGCGGCGAGAATCTAGTCAGTTATCCTTGATGACCAGTGGTTATGTTGCCTACGTGTCACGTGCCCGACGCATGTCCACTTCTTGATTTACACTATGATATCCTTAACACTGCTTTTTTCGCTCACACGCTCTGCTCTCTTATTGTCTCTTAAGGTTACACCTATCATTTTCCTTTCCATCGCTCGCTGCGTCGTCGATTCAGGCGGATTCCTTTCTGTAATCTTCCAGTTTTCCGCTCCGTTGGTAAGTACTGGCAAGATTCAGGCTTTATATACATTTCTCTTGAGGAGGGTTAAGGGTAGAATAGGGTGCAATAATCTTTTGTCTTTCACTGTAATGTAGTAGTTATGTTTATACAAGCAGGACTATAGAACCCTTCCACAGATTTCAGTAGTGGCGCTTGCGCTTCCATTGCTTGTCTTAGCTGTATCCATGTTTATAAGAAATAGAAGTGTCACCGTTGCGGTACCGCAGACATCTGTGTCGGAGGAAATTGTCGACAGTTATTCACCTAGTGTTTAGCGATTGACACAAAGTTTTGGCCACAGCTCCATAGGACATTTGAGTGCCCTCGGGGTTCATCACGTCTCGCACACACTGTGAAGTGCTACTGATATAATCGCGGCTAGCAATAAGCCATGCAGATAACCGCTTTGGAATTAAATAATGGCTGGCGTGCTTTGCTCGCCACCCAATCATTTCTGATGGATTCCAAATAGCCGATGCCGTTATTTCTGCAATGCGCCCATCTGTTTCACTAATCACTCACTGGGCATTCTCGATTGCTTATTGCGCATGGGGCTTGGAACGTATAGATGCTCTCTAATGCATTTTAGAAATGGGCACTGTGGCAACAAGGACATACGAGTAGAATATAAGTAATACAGACCACACATCGCGTCTCACAAGCACCTTTATTAAAAATAACGCACACTATTTTAAATCATTACCGAGCACCACGTGCTCTTACATCACAGTAGCCAAAGGCACGTGCTCCAGCAAAGAATACAAAAGATTATAGCGGTGATCACATTTTCACTCCATCGCTGTATACTCAATCGAATCAGGTGAGAAGTTTTATTGTCGCATAGCGCTATTCTAGGCATGCTTTCACATCGATTCACTTTCTTTGTTGATATAGTAAGCCTCAGTAATCTCTCTAGTAGCGTGATCATTACGCTGAATTACAGAGGTTGTCGCGAAAGTTATGCTTGCATCCGTGTTGTGAATTATCGAGAAACGTGTGGATTTCGGTGTTGCCTTTCAATAAGCGCTTGTATTCATTCAGGCATAGACCCTTCTCTCTCTTCTCTTCTTTTGAATGCGAAGCATTTCTTTGCAAACTTCGGCGACATTACCCGTATCTATCTATCTATCTATCTATCTATCTATCTATCTATCTATCTATCTATCTATCTATCTATCTATCTATCTATCCGCCTACAGCTTTTGGCTCTCCCGGCTATTTCAACAATGGGATCATACAAGTTGATATGGCACAACAAGGGTGCATGACGAGTATGAGTGACTAGTCGTAACATGAAAATCATGTCGTATATGTGTAGAATGCCATGCTCTTGCTGATGGGGTGGTATAGTTTCGTTCACACGAAATATTGCAAAACTGGTATGGTATGACATGACTGCATATCAAACATGAGTGACAGGCTCTAACGTGGAAATCAAGACATGCATGTGATTCAAGTCATGACTACACGCCATGCTCATGATGCTCTCGCGGCCGTTTCGCTAGCTTCAAATATACCAAATTTGGTTTTACGTGACGCGAACTGACGACGAAAGTAAATGACTCGTTCAAACAGGATAATCTTGACATGCGTGTCATGTGAAACATGACAACATGCTACGGTCTTACGTCTGCTGACGCGCAGGTGGCGGGATCGAATCCCGGCGGCGGTGGCTGCATTTTCGATAGAGGCGAAAATGCTGTAGGCAGGTATGCTCAGATTTGGGTGCACGTTAAAGAACCCCAGACGGTCGAAATTTACGGAGCCCTCCACTACGGCGTCTCTCATTATCACATAGTTGCTTTGGGACATTAAACCCCGTATATCATTATACTACGCTCATGGTTCGCTCAGGGCCGTTTCGCTAGCTTCACATATACCAAATTTGGCATTACGTGATGTCAATGTATGATGAAGGTATACGACTGGCGCAAAAGTGATAATCATAACATGCATGTCATGCAAGAACATGACTACATACCACACTCATGATTCACTCCCAAACCTTTCGCAAACATTACATATGCCGTATTTGGGTATTACGTGACGTGAATGGATGACGAAGGTAAATGACTCGCACAAACTTCGCAATCTTGATATGTGTATCATTGAAATAATCACTACATGCAATTGTCATAGCATGCTCGTGGCCGTTTCGCAAGTTTCATCATCATCATCATCATCAGCAGCAGCAGCAGCAGCAGCAGCAGCAGCAGCAGCCTGGCTACGTCCACTGCAGGATAAAAGCCTCTCCCATGTTCTGCCAGTCAACTTGGTTCTGTACTTGCTGCTGCCAATTTATACCAGCAAACTTTTTAATCTCATCTGCCCACATAATCTTCTCTCTCCCTCTAACCCGCGTGCCTTCTCTAGAAATCCAGTTAGTTACCCTTAATGACCAGCGGTGTTCCTCTCTACGTTCAAGATGCCCGGCCTATGTACTTTTTCTCTTGATTTCAACTATGAGATTCTTAGCCCCGGTTTGTTCCCTAATCCACTCTGATTTCTTCTTGTCTCTTGAGGTTACACCTACCATTTTTCTTTCCATTGCTCGCTGCGTCGTCCTCACTTTAAGCTGAACCTTCTTTGTAAGTCTCAAGGTTTGTGCTCCGTAGCTAAGTACCGGCGAGATGCAGCTGTTATACACCTTTCTCTTGGGAGATAGTGGCAATCTAGCAGTCATGATTTGAGAGAGTTAGCCAAATGTGCTCTACCACCCATTTTTATTCTTCCAGGTACTTCAGTCTCGTGGTTCCACTCCGTGGTTATTACCTGTCCTAAGTAGACATAGTCTTTTACAACTTCAAGGGCACTTTTACCTATATCGAAGCGCTGTTCTCTTCCGAGGTGTTTGTACAATACTTTCGTTTTCTGCGCATTATTTTAACACCTACTTTTCTGTTGTCCTTGCCTAACTCCGTAATAATGAGTTGCGATTCGTCCGCTGAGTTACTAAGCAATGCAATGTCATCGGCAAAGCGTACGGTATTAAGGCACGC